ACACACACACACACACACGTAACCACTACAAATCAGGGCAAATGGGACCACTTAAATGCCAAAAACAAAGTTGATTACTGTATAGATGACCCAAAACAGAATACTTATTATAATAAGAATTGTCAGACTGACAGAGACCTATGTTGTTCCAGGGAGGGGAAAAAAAGGATGATCAGACTACTGAATTCTTTATCCAAAGAAGCGAAAGAATTCTAGGTCAAGGGAAAACAAATATAATTCAAAATATAAAGCCATGGCCCGTCAGTCAATTCTTAGATTTGAGCCAATTTACAACCCAGAACCCTTTGCCAGATCCACTTGAGGAAGGGTGCCATTACACTGCCAAAAACAACAAAAACTCACTGCTAACCTTTAGCATCAGATTAACCCAAAATTAATTCCTGTGAGGCAGACCTCAGACATGCCTCCACTCTCCTTTTTTTTTTTTTTTAACAATTCAGACACCAGCCATCCCTCCCACAGCACTTGCTACATCTTGGCTGAGTTCAATAATTCATTAAAAATGCCACAAAGAATTTTAATACAATTGTAGTATTTATTTGAGAAATCACATATTTCAATTCATAATCAGAAACTACTCAGGATACAGAAGAAGCTAGAAGAGCTGCTTCTTGGCCATGCCCACAGACACCCCTCTCTCGGGCCCTCTTATCACCAATAAGTGCTTTAAGGCGCCCCTCTGCCAGCAAGCTTCTTGCCCAAAGGCACTCAGCTTTCTTGCTCTGTGGGCCAGTTCGCCCACTATGGCATCTCCTTCTAGTCTCCTCGTTTTGTCGTCACTGCTGCTCACCACGTCTCGCTATTACCTGGAGTACAGCACTCTCGCTCCCTGGCTTGCTCAAGTTCCCGTTCTCACTGTCGCTCTGAGACTTCTTGATGCAGCAGGTTCTCAGCATAGGGATCCTTGCTCCAGAGGATGTACTCCACTCCTGGCTCTTCTTTCTTGGTAATCGTGAGGTTCCCCCACCCCTTTCTGCCTCTTGGGTGATTCATTTTATGGTTAGTGGGATGGCAAACCAATCAATTCCCTTCATTTGTATGGTCCTACCCTAACAAGAGGGTCATGTACCTTATTAACAGTATAATCAAGCTATCCAATTCCATAATAACCTCATCTGCATAATAACTAAACACAGTTGTTTGGCAGGAATTACAAAGATAACAGCTAGAAGAACCACATTTGCTGCACTGGAATTATCATAAACTGAACCAGGTGGTAGCTCCAATTGTAGTTGCTGTTCCAGATGTGGTTTCATAGCCTCCACAGCTAAGGATATCTCCTGGTACTTGGTAGGTAGCGACTGATATAAAAAATAGGTTTTCCTTGATGCATATTAGAAAAGACCACAAGCAAAAAAAAAAAATAGAAAAGACCACAAGCAGCATGTTTTGTTCAACTGGCAGGGTCACCGATACAACTTCACTGTCCTACTCTGAGTGTAGCAGCTCTCCAGCTCTATGTCACAATTGAGTCCACATGAAAACTGATCAACTCTCCCTTCCACAAGGAATCACACTAGTCCATTACACTAGTCCATAATGCCCTGATTAGACCTAGTGAGCAAAAATAGCAACTTCTTTAGACATACTAGCAAAACATTTGCAAGTCAGGTAGTAGAAAATGAATCTGATAAAAACATACAGGGGTCTTCTAATTCAGTGAAATTTTTAAGGATTCAGAGCCTGGGACACTTCTAGATATCCATTCTATGGTGAAGCAAAACTTGTGTTTCTGGGCCCTCCCTTAACAAGAAGACACACAAAGCTTGGTGAGCCTTTTAGGCAGCTGGAGGCAAATTTTAACTCTGGCTCATTTACTGAGTGAGCCAACATGCTGCTCGCTTCAAATGAAGCCCAAAATAAAGAAGGGTATGCAACAAGTCCAGGTGCCCATTCAAGCCTCTATACCACTTGGGACATATGACCCAGCATATCCAATGCCGCTCCTTATTTTTAGTTTGTGTGTATGTATATATCATATAAAATAGCAATAACAGTTAACTTCCTATTATAGCATTTAAGTTACATTAGAGTAAAAAGAAGAGTGATTTTGGACATTCTTCGAGGGAAAGGGTTAGTGCATTTTCAGTTATATGCAAGTTACTTGTACCATATTAAGTAGAAGTATGGTTTTGTTACTGTCTTTATCTGGAGAAGCAGTATGGTTTAAGATGTGTATGATGCTAAGTTGATATGGAATGGACTATAATGGTTATGTGTCAACTGGACTAGGACAGAGTTAGTATCTCATTATTTAGTTCAAACTCTATGGGTTGCTGGAAAGCTGTTTTATAGATGTTAGCATCTACAACCACTTGAGTTTAAACAAAGTAAGCTACCCTAAAAATATATATAAATGGATCTTTTTTCAATCACTTAAAGATCTGAAGAGCAAAAACCAGTTTCTGGTAAAGAAAGCATAAAATCCTGCCTGGAATTCCAGTCTGCTGGCCTGATCTAAAAACTTCCAGAAGTACCAGATCACACTTCATTCAAATGAAATTTTAAAAGAAATGCATATAAAAAGTTCATAGAAAAACAGAATAAAAAGTAATGGAATTTTCCTGTGAACTTCTGTTTTTCCATGAAGTTCCCTTCTGTATGTGTGTGCTATCTCTCTGAAGAATCTTGATACATCTATCACCCACAAAATTATCACAATACTTTTAAAAAAAATGTTTTTTTTAAATAGATTTGTTTGATAGATTAACAGGCCAGGGTTTTCTTTTTAAGAAGTGAATGGAAAGTTATGTTTTACAAGCAGAATGAAACGAAGCTTTATTCTTTAGGAACGGGTTAAAAAAAGGAGAGGACTGGCCAGTTCTCTCAAGCAGCAGAAGAAAAGCAGAGCTCTATTACTGACGCTGTTCTAGATGGCCATATTTTAGTTGAAGTTCTCAAAATGTTCAGGCAAAGTTAGCAGGAATCGTAATTTGTGTGTATTTATTGTATTGGTGTTTGTAAATTAAACATTTTAAATTAAGTATTACATTTTAAATACTGGCTAAACGAATCATTTTAGCAATTTATTACAAAATCTTCTAAACAAAGTCTATCACTCTTCATGAGTCAGAATGTATCATTCAACCTTGTTTTCACTGATAACCTATAATATTCATTAAAAACACATGCTCTTTTATTGATCAAGAATTGAGTAAGTTATAATGACAAAAAGGGTGATTTTAAAAGGGTGATTTAAAATGAGGGTGATTTTAAAATGAATAATACACAAATACTACTATTTTCACAAAAAGATCATTCAAGATTAAAAAACAATCATATACACAATTCCATAACAAGATTATGTTTAAAAAAACAAAATTAGACTGTACCGCTTCAGAGCAAGATTAGCCTCGCCTCCATGACTCGAATCCTGACCAGCATTATGAACCACCTCATAGTGTTTGCAAAGTTCATCAGCAGATCCAAGAGACTTCATACACTGGGGACATATGAAGCCCTACAGAAAGAAGTAGATAAATATTTCATAATAGCATTTAATACTGCAAAATAATAATTTGCATATTATGAAATAAGGTTAAATGTCTACTATTCACACCAATAGTGTCATTAGATTGATTAAAATGATTATATTAACTCCAAATTTTGATATTGTGCAAAGGTATTTCACTATCTACTTAGGTTGAAGTTATAAAACAAAGAAAACCTTTACAAGTATTTCTTAGATTGAATAAATTAGCAGCTAGCATACAGAATTCTAATAGAAGAATCCAAACAAGTCAAGTTGGGAAGTTTTGCATCACATCCTCCCTCTCTCTAGATATTCTCTCTAGTTTAATGTCTTTTACAATCTGCTTTCAAGAAAAATTAATTAGATGAAGCATTCTGACTACTTGGGGACAGGGGGGTGGGGGAGTCATATATAACCTACTGCTATCAATACGCAAGTAAATAATAACTACCAAAGAGATCAGAAATCTACAGTGGGTGAAAAGTTTTCTATTCAGTACACTTCCATAACGATTAGCACTGTTAAAGCCTAAAATTCATGCATAGTCCCATAAAATAGAGAAAACAATTATTCCCACATTCCTCACATTGTTTAAAACATCAACTAACTTTTTATCAAGATACTGGTGTAGACCAAGTTTTACAAATTTGGAGTTATAATTCATAAAATGTTGGCTTACATTCATAAAATCAACTTCTTGGATTTTTAACTTTTTTTCTTTAAGTTACCTATAACATATATTAGATTTCATATATGTTTATCTAGTATAGATAAATAACCTCTTGTAAGTTTTTGTTTTGGGGTCTTGACAACAAATTTATTTCCATTAAGAAAATGAGAGTAACATTGATATAGATTAAAAACAAAATTAAATATGACTGAGTCAACTGCAACTCATGCAACCCCTGACATTACAAGATGCAGAATGAAGCAATGGAATAAATGATATTTGCAATTTACTGAGTCCTTACCATGTGCCAAGTACTTTCCCTATATGAGCTCATTTAAATATCAAAATTGTTACTGGGTATCATTATTATCTCCATGTTATAAAAGAGGAAACTAAACTTCCCTGCCATCAAGTCAATTCTGACTCATAGCCTTTCCCAAAGTCACAGCTAGCTGAGCTTGGGTATACATAAGAATCCTGGACAAAACTCCTGTCTTTCTGGTGTGCTACCCTCGCACAGACTAACTGAGACGCCCTTGAATGATTTCCTTAAGAAATACTCTGGTACCTGACCATTTCTAGTAACTTCATTTATTAAAAATTCACTGATCATACTTTCAAGCACTTTTATAGTCCTGTAGCAAACATAAAGTGATAAAAAAAACAGTCTCAGACTTCAAAAAATGGCGAGGCAAAATATATACCAAAAACGGTTTCCTAAAACTAAATTAATGATTAACTGGATAACATCGAAGCTTATAATGTATGGATATCTGACTGCAAAATTCATTTGCAAACCAAAAATAAAACAACTCTTGCCTCAATTGTCTCTTGGTATGATAGAAAACTCTTTATCCAATCTCTGTGTCCTTCAAATTCTTGGTAGTATTTTTAATACTACATAATATTTCATCATTAACCCAAAATGCCACTCAAAACTTATCTGAATTTTAAATGACACTTTAAATTATTTGCATTAAAAATTTCCTATGGCCAATGACAGAGTAGTCCCCTCATGTAAACACAAGCACAAGAGTGCACACACCTTGGGGTTATAAGGAGGTCTTACTCTAAAATCGTACTTTTAGAAAATATAAACAGACGTCAGTACGAGATACGCTTCCAGTCCTAGTTTTTCTTCTCCCAATCCACAAGGATATTCTCCTAACCTATTCTGCAGGAGCATTTCATATTCTAAATAGTATCTAAATATCTAAATAGTTCATTGGTTAAACTGAAGATATAATACTGATTAGCAAGAATGTGGTTAAGATTTTACCAATGACAACTCTGCTAATGCAAAGTAACAAGAAATCTTTTTTTTTTTACTTTCATCAAGTACAGTACAACTCTAAAATGCTCCCATTACTGACACAAAAATTAAAGAGAACACTGGTGTGCTGGGACATCCCTATCTTGATCCCACAGGTCACTCAGACACAACCAATCAGAAACTTAACTAAACCTCCTTTTCTCATCATCTATATTTCACCCAAACTAGATACCTAAGTAGCTAAGTTCCTCCGCCACCTGTCTTACCACTAACAAAATATTAAGCCTAAACATTTTGTGTTCTTACCATCCTTATTGCAACTATCGTGTTTAGATACTCAGAATGAGTGTTTAAGGATGTTCCACATGAATAGGCTATATGGCTTTTAAGTTTATGAACTTGGTAATGCCAATTCTACATATTAAGAAACCCTGTGATAGTTAGACTTTTTTTGCCAACGTGGCTCCCATAGGAATATGTGGGCGGAGTTAGCCTGTCAATCAGGTTGCAGCTTGATTGGAGGGTGACCAGATAAATAGCTCTTCAAGGCTGGCCTCTTCCTCTTTCTTCGTGAAGGCAAGCCACACACTCTCTTTCTGCTTCATCTTCCTGTGGACCAGTCACACTAGAGAGCTGCCACAGCCATGCTGGAGCTTGTCAGAGCCTTATGATGCTTTCACTGCCATTGGATCCACAATACTCTGCACCCACCAGCCTGTGAGCTTCCTGCATTCTCCAACATTGCGTGTAGCTGCATGAGTCTGAAGAGGGATTTATGGACCAGAATCAAACTTATGGACTTGATTTGGACTGGGCTCTCTTACACACAAATAGGAGTGTCACTGGATTTGTTTCTCTAGCTAATAGAACCCGATTTATTATTTATGGTTTATTATTATTTTTAATTATCTTCCAGGGGGCAAATTTTGCTCAATAGGTCACTTCCAAAGAAATACTATTAGCCAACACTAAAACACGAAAAATAGCCAGCTGTAATCACTCTAAATTTCTCACCAAACTAAAAAAAAAAAGCCAAATTACTTAAGATTAAAAGCAATAGGGTCTTTTTCTAAGAGTTCAATTATAAGCCAGTCTCAACTCTACAGCAGCTATAAGTTTAACTTTTATATGATTAACTTGACACTTGGGGTTTCCTTTTAATTAAAAGAAAAGTTCTCTTTTTTATTTTCTGAGCTCCTCTCATGTTAAATTAACTTTAGCCACAGCATTCTGTGCTTCCACTATGTCAAACAAATAATATCTATACGAGATCTTCTGGTTCATACTTTGCTCTCCCCCACTTAGCAAAATGTCAGGCATCTAAGAGGTATAAATAAATAAGTTAAATAAGTGAGTTTTTGTGAGATATTTATCTAACGTACATAACTGATGCACCAACAAAGTCTATTTTGGTCTTGCAATGATACACAAAAGTTTCTTTCTTTTATAGAATTTATAATAGAAAGAGGTCTTGGTGTATGTTTTTTGTATATTGTACTGATTATTGAAGGAAAAAGAGGTCTAAAATAGGCAATACTCCCACCCTAACTCTGACCCTGGCCTTAGATATTCACTAACCCCACAGTACAAAAATAATCATTCCTGAATGGTCTACTGATACGTTGATAACATCTCTTAAGTCAGGGGAAGAGAAAACTAAGATTGAGTATTTTCCCAAGTGAAAAAATTATTAGTTTACATGCAAAAAACATATAACTTATGGCATTTCAATACATTCATAAATAAAACATTAACTATATAGTAAAAATATAACAAAGGCTTGAATAAACTATTATCATTTATATCATACTTCACAGTTCATGAAAAAAATGTATGCAAAATATTAACTGAAATGTTTTTATTTATTTAAAAATTCACCATAGACAGTTACAGACAATAAGAAAAGCCAAGCCCACTTCCCAAGAGCCTTTTTTCCTTATTGAACCTTCTTTAAAGCATGCATAATTAAAGCGATCCGTATCCTTTGCAGCACAAAAAGTTAAGCAACACCAAGGCAAGAAAAAGCAAAGGTATTTTGAGCACCCCATAACCAAGCTACTAAAGCAAATTATACAGGACCCACAGTGACACTGGAGTCATTAAGGCGCGCCCGTCTTCCGGCTTCGTTTTCAGCGTGCATTTTCTGGTAATGCTCCGACAAATCAATAGCTGTTATACATCTTTTCATACATAATGGACAGATGAAACCCTGTGAAATAATAACTTTTAGGAGCATATACATAAATACTTCTAGAACAAATGATAACGTTAGACAATGAAATTTGTGAACACAAACAAAAAGAACAATTAATCCATGTACTCTCTTTCTAGTATAAACCAAGCCCACTGCCGTCAAGTCAATGCTGACTCAGCGGCCCTCTATGGTAGAATACAGCTGCTCCATAGGGACTCTGAGAACTTTCCCAGAAGCTGACTGCCTATCTTTCTCCCCGAGAGCAGTACAGTAAGCAGCTCAACACTTAGCCCACTGCACCACCGGGGCTCCTATATTTAGTGTGCATAAGGGAAATTTTCAAAGGTGAAAAGATGAAAGGTATCAGACGAAAAATTCAGGTACAGTGCTGCTGTCTTCAGATGCTGTTCAGTAGGTTCTGATTAAAGTGGTTCCGTGTACGCAGAGGAAAACTGCTTCTTGTGGTTTTCAAACTATGACGTTTCAGAAGCAGACTACCAGGCCTGTCTCCTAAGGAGTCTCCAGATATGTTCAAAATCACAAATCTTGTGGCTAGGAGACATGAATTCCACCATCTGTGCTTGACTCTAAACCCAGAAACTCGAAAATTATTACCCAGCCTTACACTGTCAATTCTCATCGACGAGATGTTCGTTAATGACGCCCAGGCGCTGTAGTTGGAATGAGACTATTCTTTGTGTCGGGTTTGCTCTTACTTTGAAGATACACTCTCAGATAAGTAACACTGGTATGAGTGGATACTCTTTGGTCCCCAAAGTCACTTAGGATAAGAACAAGGAGGAATAAGGCTACAACGAAGGTTTCAAAATGAGGCAATACAAGACAAAGGT